GCGGGCTGACCCGCCGCATGCGACGGCAGCGGCGTGACCTAGTTTCGACGGACGCGCGCAACGAAGCGCACCCCTGATACAGAGGTTGCTCAGCAGCGACATAAATCTCGTTAAAAACCCTTTTTGCCATCATGATCTTGTCCAAGCTCAGAAGCTCCTTGTGCGTTTACATTGCTCTGTGTGCTTTTCTACGCGATTGAAACTCGTTATTAAAAACATTGAACAGAATTTTTTTTGCCAAGAAAGTATTTGGGTTTTAGAGATTTCATAATGCAGAAGAAAGGCATACAATGAAGAACATGACATGAATATTTATCAATACCAGTTATATTCCGATGAAAGTTGAGCAACGTTAGTACATAGAATTCTACTGAGGCAGTAGCACAGACATATATTCGAATCGGATTTCCAAGCAAAACTTATTGAGTTGTCAGATTAGTTCATCACAGAAAAAATAAGAAAAATGCTATACACCGCATATATAGTCAACAATGCCGTTTTTTCTGAGTTTTTGATAGTTCACAGAAACAGGAATGGATCACAGTATTTCGATAGAAACTAATATACCCAATACATCTGTTCTACGCAGAAAAAGGAAAGTGTTCATTTTTGCGAAAGAAAAAACACGCAATAACTTCGCTGAGAACCTATGGAAAAACACCAGAAAAATTCAATTGAGATACAAGATGCACAGATTTTTATCCGTGATACAACCCTTCTCATAACGAGATCATGAACTACATGAATATCATAAACTACTAAATTTGAAAGACGGCTCCAGCTCAAAACGAATTTTTCCTTGTTTTCCGAACAATATCCGTAGAATTCCTTCTTTAAAACTCGGAAGAATAACAGACAACAGGTTAGAGCTAGAGTAAAACAAAAAACAAGAAAAACAAGCATTTTGAAAAAGTCTAGACAGAGTTCCCCTCTACATGCATATTACTAAGTAATTACCCGTAAATTATACCCCGCAATACCGTTCAGAGAGTGGAGAGTTGGTTGCAGAGCAAAGAAAAGCAACGAAAAGACGACAGTGCTCAGCCAATGCCTGGCAGCCTGATATGCACGAGCATGCAAGAGCATTTGATGCATCTACCAGGTAGAGTAAGAGTAACACTAACCTTCGAACTGGATGTGCTGTAAGTACCTTATAGGAGGGATTAATGGCCGTATGGCTTGAAGAGTGCATGGGTGGAGAACAAGTGTTTGATAGCTGGCAAGTTTTTGAAATCCACAAATGGGTCTTCCTTTCTTGGTATCATCACCTGAAGTCGAAGAATTCACAAAGGGTATGCTCACGATAAAACGCTATCAATTTACCCGACGTGTACTGCGGCGGCCGCGTTCTGCTCACCACGCGGCATTTCTTAGCTAGTTGTCTCGTCATGCATCATGTCCCAATTGACTGTCCAGATGTCTCGCCATGCGGCATTCTATCCGAGGCTTCCACCAATCACCCATCTACTACCGTCTCTGTTTGACCCTGCTACTGTCGTATTCGCTGCCTACAAACGCATTCCAAATAATCCCTGCCATGTCTTCACATCAAAGAACTTGTCTATGCTTTTCGTGGTTTAACTGTTCTAATATACCAATGAGGGGGGAGATAGCTCTCAAATGCAACCAACGCTCCATTCTCCACTATAGACCCCGTTGTACTCGTAGTATTTCATAGAGTCTTCGCCAATTGAACAACCTACACAGTATGGGAAGTTCTATGAGTCTGTGAATCACGAACTGTTGAAAACTCTTTTGAGTGTGCTTCTCTTAAAATAGACGAACGTTTGATAAAAGCATATCGAAGGCGATCACGATAATGTCGAACAAAATATAGGGACGTGATTGGACTGAGTGCAGGAACAAAACCAGCTAAAATAAATGTCGAATGTTCAAGTAGTGGATGGTTGTAAATACCAAGCTGACCACAGGCATACGAAATTACTGCAAGGAGGTAGAACAGAGGCAGCATAGCTTGCCAAATGAGAGCCTGAAAATAAAAAAGGAAGAGGTATCTAGTGAAAACTGATCTCTGCAATTATGGATGACAACAAAAAGGAGACTGAAGATAAACTTTTGGCACTGATCAATCCCGATTAATTGATTTCCATTTAAAACAACATATATGCTAGCGGATGTACAAGTCAGTCTCTAAAGGAATGAAAGGCTCGGTTGGCTGGAGAGCATCGGTATAGGTTAACCTCTAAACTAACTTTTCGAGGTCCAGGACAGAGATGGGCACACCCCAACTGCCCGTCCTTCTTTCTTTGAAAAATAGCACGCAATATTCCCTGAGTTTCCTTTCAGAGAAAANGCGTCGTTTTAGATCGTTAATTGGTCTACTTCCATTTCTGAATATTTTCTTTGACAGAGTCGTCTCTTTGACAGAGACGTAGCTAACTTTACTTGCTCTGATCAGAACAATGGCGACGGTGCTGGCTCTTTTTCTTTCCGCACCATCCCTCAAACATGTTTGTTCTCTTTCAAATGATATTTTCTAATACCCTTGCCAAGGAAGAAGTCAGAACCCTGGACAAACCTTACCCCTAATAGGGATAGAAGCGACATGACAGCGACAGCAAACATTCGTTACCTAATCGTTACTAGTCCCATAAAGGTTGAAACAAAAAACAGACAGACCAACAAACAAACAACAAAAACTCAGTTTATGTTTGAGCAGTTCCCACAGGAGAGCCTTAAGTTTCTCAAGATCTTCTTGGAAAGCACCCCAGCGATAACGAACGAGGGCTAACACACAATTGAACGAGATTGATCGTTGCTAGAGTCTTTACTTAACTTTTTTTTTAGAATAATTCCTTCCACTACTACATTTACTACATTTGTGCCATACCCCTCTAAACATGACTGAAAGAACTCACAGTAAGGAGCTGCTGGTGTAAGTTCCTCGTTCTTGACGACATTATGGAGTCATTCAAATGTCGAACGATACCCCTTCGTAGGGCTAAGACACAGATGTATACAGGTGCGACCGGTATTGTCATATACAGTATAGTGGCCAACGCTTTCCACTCGAAAATGTTCAGATTGCCCGTGACAGTACGTCCTGTGAGATTATACTGAGGATATTTAGATCGTAATAACGGCACAATGACTTCAGGAGGATCATCAGCGAAGCTAAAGGATACCTGAAATGAAATATTCTAGTAAGCTCAGCTCACTGCAGTGGCGGTGAAGACCATGGAACGATAAATTCTTCCAAAATTATTGAGCAAACTTCATTTCTCTCCAGGCGCTTTCACTATTTTTACCCAAACTCCCGTCCCATTCAGGGTCAAAAATAGTGCATTTTAAGAGCTCGAGGACGTATCCAGGTCTTTATGACACATGGAAAAATTTTGGCACGGAAAAGGGAAAGGAAAGGCACGGTTTACAATAATTCGAATGTTCTTATTTCAACTTAATTGATGGAGGTGATGAGATCATATGTAAGAGAACGTAACAACAAAATAGGGGAGATGGAACATCGGTGCGTCCGGAGAGTACCAAAATTACGCAGCGAAATCCGTGTCGATTTGATCGACCCTGGCACCGATTATTGAGACACAAACTTGAAGTAGAGTAGATTAGTAGGGTCAGCAAATACTAGTAATCTACTTCACTTCAAACGTGTGCCCCAATGATAGCCGCCAGAGTCGTTCATATCGCCACAGATTTCGCCGGGCAATTTGCCGCCTGCATTTCCTAACCCACCAATGTACTCGGGTCTGGTATCTTCTCCCGATCGCCGCAGCTTCCGCACCCTCCGCGTATTGCAGAAATGCAATGGAAGATTGGAGAGCGCAACCTGTGAGTTAAGGTGTCCTCTAACCTTATTTCTGCTGCCCACTTTCTTCAATCCCAATTCAGTCTCGATAGTCGGCAGTAGAGGAGGAGTCATTCGGATCAATCAAGTCTAATAAAAATCAAAACAAGAAATAAACAGAAAGAAACAGTCAAAACCAATAGAAAAACAGTCAAGAAAAATATGGTGTATTGTGGATTGTCTCGGCGGGTTGCGAGTTGAATAAAATAATTGCAGTTTGAAGACGCGAGACAACTA